ATAAACAATTCAATAGTTTTAAGTATGGAGTTCTGAGATAGACAATATGACATTTACCTACAGCAAAGCTTTTAAAGGATCAATGATTCCTCTAAGCCTGACCTTTAGTTCAACTTTCCCAACTGGTCTTTCGTCCTCTCTCTGATCACCCTACGCTCTAGCCAAATGTGACTATCTGCAGTTCCCACAAACCTTGCCTTTTCTTGACCTCTAGACTTTTCTGCTCTAGCTGTTATCTCCGCCTGAAATATCTATCCTGACATTTTCCCTCCACCGTCCACCTAAAACAATCTCCTTCACAGAGCCAGCTGTGATGCCCAGCCTAACCCTCCTCACACCCTCAGAGCCTGTCTCTTTCTCTGAAGTCCCCTGGCTTTCTTACCTTCCCATATATGGCACACCGACCCTTACCACTACTTACTTCTTAGCTCTTCAACAAAGATCATCAGATCTTGAGAGCTATGTCCTTGAGTAATCACATCCTTTTCCCTCAGTCATGCCTGCATAAAGCAGGCACTACACAAACAAAATCTTTCATGATTTTAATAGCAGGATTTTCCATTTATTTGGCAATCGAAATCTCTCTGTATATTAGAATATGCTCACATACATTCATCTGTGTGAACAGTGTGTGTGTGTGTTCTTGTGTGCAGAGCGAGAAAATGACAACATAAACAAACTAACATTTTAAGCAGTGTATTTTGGGGGATTGATAAAGTGGTTTTAAAAAGTATCTTTCCCTAATGTGAAATCTAGAAATGTGATAAAAGGAAACACTAATCATTATGGCATGCTGTAAAAAGGGCCTTGTTGGTCAAATTTTCACGAAATTCCTCTTCTAGGCATGTAGGCAAAATACAAACATTACAGATAATTGGCTGTCCAACTGAAACAGCACTCACATCTCAGGAGGAAGTCACTTTGAAAATAATGAATGCACTATGTATGAAAACACCAAATCATATTCAGCAAACTACCCTGCCTCAAATTCAGCAACACTTGCAAACTCTCTCATGAAATCATTATAGACAAATTTATACAAGAATGGACAGATAATCTGAGTTTTCATCTTGGCTCTACATAATCACTTACTGGATACATGAATAAAAGCAAGTCACTTAACCTCTGTGCGCTTCAGTTCCCTCAGGTATGAAAAACAGGTAATACTTTCTGTCTCTGTGCTAGCTCTTCCCAGAGTTAAGGATTGAAATTACTAACATATCCATAGACATGTTCTTGTGCTCCCTTAGGTCACATACTCCTTGAGAATCCAATGAGAATGCTGTCTCTGTTCCCCTCAAAAATGCACATCCACACAAAATTAACCAAATAATGTAAGAGAGCTCATGGACTCCGTAAAATCGAGCTCCTGGTTCAATTTTGTAAAGGCACTCAATAACTGCCAAATGGATTAAGAAAGAAAACAGTGAAAAAATACATGTAATCGGTTCATTGTTGTTAAGTGCCATCGAGTCGGTTCCAACCCACAACGATCCTGAACAAGGTTTCCGTGGCTGTAAAGCTTTATGGGAGTAGAAAGCCTCATCTTTCTCCCATGGAGCAGCTGGTAGTTTTAAACTGCTGACCTTGCGGTTCACAGCCCGATTCGTAACCACTACACTACCAGAGCTCCTTGTAATCGGTTAATTAGCAACCAGATATCTAAAGAATGTTGATTTACTGAACAATCTGACTGGCACTATAACTATACAGCATGAATCCAGAACTGCCTTAAACATGCTTATAACCTTTGATTTAATAATCCCACTTCTAGGAAGCTATCCTAATGAAAAATTTAAAGATGTAATAAAATACCTATATGCAAAGAATGGCCAAATGCACTGCTGCTTCTAATAGCAAAAAAGAAGACTACTTCCTAAGTGGGAAATTACAGTCTATGCACTACAATGCAAAGTCACTCTGAACCACAAGGTTGGCAGCTCAAGTTCACCAACTGCTCCGTGGAAATCCTATACAGGATCACTATGGGTCAGAACCAACTCGACAGCACTTAACAACAATCCAAAGTATAGACTCCTGGTGTGCCGCTGCTAACTATGAAGTTAGCAGTTCAAACCCACCTGTCACTCCTTCAAAACCCTATACAGGATCACTAAGTGTCAGAAACGAACAACTCCATGGCACTTTACAATAACAATAATGATATCCAAGTTATAGAATACTACATAGACAGTTTTAAAGAGTAAGTGACAATATGAGGATCCTGTTGTTAAGTGCCAAGACAGTTCTGACTTACAAGGTTTCTGAGGAATGGCTGGTAGGTTTGAACCACTGACCTCATGGTTCAAACCAGCATTACAGTCCAGTGCTTCATCCTACAGCACCACACCAGGAGTCCAATTTGAGGAGAAGCTCATGTTAAGAAAAAGCAGAATAAAAACCAGTTTATAGCAAACCTGCACAGGGCTTCCAAGGAGTAGCAGGTAGGTTTGAATTGCCAGCTTTGTAGTTCCCAGTCCAGTGCTGATCCACAGCACCACACCTAAAGTCCTATATGTACATATGAATATATGTTGTTGTTAAGTGCCGTGGAGTCAATTCCGACCCATAGTGACCCTGCATAGGGTTCCCAAGGAGTGGCTGGTGAGCTTGAACCACCGACCTTAACAGTTCAAATGACTTTGCAGTCTGACGCATTAGCCCACAGCGCCACACCTAGATATATGTATGTGTGTATGTATATATATATATATATATATATATATATACATACTGCTGTGCCATGGAGTCGGTTCCGACTCAAACCCTGTACAGGGTTTCCGATGCTGTAAATAAATAAATAAATAAATACACACACACACACACACACACACACACACACACACTTTTTTTTTCCCCAGCTTCTCCTTGGAAAGCCTATACACTGTATACATTGGAACTGAATCCAGCGTACTTAACAACAACATGTTTCTATAGTGCGCACAGAGACAGAATGTTCTTGTTTCCATTATTTTATTAGTATGCTGTGATAAACCATAAATAACTCACTTCACCTCTGGGCTCTGTTAGGGTGACACAATCTGCATCTACCTTTAAAATTCTATGATACTATAAGTAATAACCAGAAAGCCTCCTAAAACACTTGTTTCAAAGTATAATCAACTCAATTGTAGAATATAATAAGCAGTAGAGGGGAAGAGAAACATAACTGCATTTACAATTTCATCTGAACTATTTAATTTAAAAGCAGTATCTATTGTTGACAAGACCCCAAGGAACCAGGGAATAATAGCTGGCCGGCTCTTCTCCCTTTAATCCCACATTCATATCCTATAAAAACCATCTCCCTCTATTCAAATTATCTTGTGATCTCCGGCAAGAACGGATGAAAGAAGGTTAAGAGGGCAGAATGAGCACATTCCTCAAGTAAATGAGGGTGAGGATCTCAAATCCTGATGACAGCTGTCCAGAAGAGAACTCTAGGTTCTTCTCTACTGTCTTTCTCGCTGACTCCTTCTAAAAACTGTGGATGTGCATCCAATATAAAAAAGAAGAAATAAAGTGAATGCAAGTACTACTATTGAGGTTCTCAAAGATCACATATTCTTATCTAAATTTTCTCATTATTTGTGATTAAATATTTAAATTACCTGGTTAAAACAAAGCCTCAGGTCATGTTCATAATGAGTCCTAAAATTATAGGTCATGCCTCTGTGGTTTAAATTACAACTTAATTTTATAATTAAACCCCAAGAAATATTGGGGCAGGTAGATCACAAATACATATCCCAATTTTTATCAAAAAAAAAATTTTAAAGAATAACATTCAACTGAATTAAAGTTAAAGTGAATTTTATCTTTCAACTATCTTCTTTCATATCCTCTTCCCCCAACTTGTTAAAAATACCAGAGGTCAATTACTATTCATGTTTACACATGGACACAATGAAATAAAAATTGTAGTAAATGACTTACTAAAATAAATATAGTAAAAGAAATGATAAATAAAATTCAAAGCTCCTGATTACAGGATCTAGGTTCTATTCAAAACCGAAACATCATATCAAAGATCCTGCAGAAGTTCAATTACTCACGCTTCTCTTGAGTTAAAAATGCCTAGGTAGATAACACACTCTCTGATTAACTTCAAAAAGAAAAAGAAAAAACTAAACACACTAAAGAACCTGATAAAATACATTCTTGCATAATAAATAGACAAAAAGATTTTTTCCCCACATTTGAACAAGTCTGATTTAAAATTTAAAACTGCACATGCAATAAGTACTAAGAGGGTCAATTAACACAACACCAGCAAATACAAGCTGAACCAAGGGTACAAGTTTGAATTTGAGGCTCTACACAAAATGCTTATCTCCATACACTCATTACAGCCTTGCACTTCCATAAATGACTTCACTAAGAATCTAGGTGGGCCTTATCTAGCAATATATAACCAAGTACTAGAGGGTTTACTAGAAAATACTTTTCAGAAAGAAGTATGTTAGGGAGGTATTCATTTTATTAACAATTATTTTTGTTATCTTACAAATACTAAAAGTAAATCTTTATTAGTTATTCATAAATATTTCTGAATACAATATACACTTAACTCTCATATTAAAATGTTTATTTAGAATCTAGAGCAGTAGTTCTCAACTGAGGGTAATTCACAATTTCTGGAGGCATTTTTGGTTGTTACACTTGGGGGAGGTAGGTGTACTACTGGTGTCTAATGAGTAGAGTCTAAAGATGTTGTTATACATACTAGAATGTACAGACAGCCCCCTATAACAGAGAATTATCTAGCTCTAGATGTCAAAGTTAGTGGTTCGAGCCCACGAGTTACTCCACAGAAGAAAGATGAGGCTTTCTGATTCTGCAAAGATTTAAAGTCTTGGAACCCCTATACAGGATCACTATGAATTAGAATCAAGTCAACAGCACTTAACAACAACAACAACAAGGTGTTAATAGTCTTGAGGCTAAGAAACATTGGTCTAGAATCTATTTGGTTGTAAGGCCTGTTAAGGTTTACTTACCTTTGAATTTAATATTCAGACCACTAAACTCCAATTCAACACCTTGAAGTGCTTCTCCCAAAGTTTCATGATAATGACTAATACTTTTTTTTGACCCCACACAGAATGGAAGTGAAAAGTATTTATATGTCTCTTGTCGATTATGGTAGGGCCCAACAGTATTCATCCATAAGACAACCTCTTCTTTATCTTGATACTGAAACAAGAAGCAAATACAGAAAGGTTAAAAAACAAAATAAATGGGTAAACTATTTATCCTAATTAACATTCTAAAGACAACATAGGAAGCATGTGACTGTTAAGGTTTTGTATCAACTTGACTGGGTCAGGAGTCCCACTGTTTTGGCAGTTAACTCTAAGATGATTGGATGTTTCCTTGGGGGTGTGACCTGCTCTCAATACAATGGATACACAGGAAAGAAACTCTTTATTTCTGCTGGGGACTTAGGACTCTACAATTGTGAGCCATTTCCTTGATAAAAACTTCTTTTTATTTATATACATATTTAAATTTCACTGGTTTTGCTTCTCTAAAGAACTCAGTCTAAGACAATGCATTTAAGTCAACTAAGAGTGCAGAAGTCGGTTAATTCATTGAACAACTATCTACTGAGTGCTTCCCATAAGCCCACAACTGTGTAACTTAGGATACAGCTCTGAAGACACAGACATGTTCTTTGTCCAACTGGAGCAGAATCCACAGGAGAAGATGGACAATGAAAATAAATTATAAGGTAAGAGACTATGGAGCATACAACAGAGAAAGTGATCCTACCAAATCCTTCTTGCCAGTCCTCCATCTTTAATTAGTAAACGTCTCCAAACCCAAATTAATCCCGCTCAAATCTATTCTTCCCCTACCCCAACTCCATTCCCTCAGACCAGGACAGTCAAACTTCAAGTCTCCCCTGCATTCCAGAGAAATAAACACTGACTCACCAGCCCTCATCCAAAGCATTTGCTTCTTACTTTTAATTCATATCACCAACACTCTAAGGCTTAGATCCAGTCACTCATCTTCAAACAATAAATATACCAACACTCAGACAAGGAGCCTTCAAAAACTTTGTGGAAAAGTGGAATTAAAAGATAATGGAATTTTCCACAAACTTTTTGAAGGCCCCTCATATAAGACATCATCCAGGTCAATAAGGATATACAAACGATCTCATTTTTAAACACTATGTACCAAGCATAGTAACAGGTATTAAGGATATAAATAAAATGCTGTCCCTTCCTCCCTTTAAGAAGTAAATGATAAACAATTAAGAAAGATGTATCATAATTAAGGTAATGAAGGGCTACTGTAGCAACAATAAAGGAATGATTAATTCTGCATGATGAATAATAAAAGTATCCTAATGTTCAGGAAAGCAACTAGACAATCGTCATATATGAAGGAATAAATCAAAGATCTGAGTGTTGATATAGCCACATATACCTTTTCATAACTATTCTGTCTATTCCTTGGGTTGACAAATATATGCAGGCCACCACTCTTCCAACCAATGCCCATTACCTAGATATAGTCTAAGAATATTCAAAACAGTACTCTAAGTCAGTCACTACAATTGATCAGAGTTGGGATCAGCATTGAAATTTGGTCATCATTCCTGCCTAGGTGGAACACTCTCTGCATAATGTCATTAATGTACACAAAAAGTCATTTCATAAATATGATGAGAAGACAGTAAATAAGTGCTGATGTAATTTATTAACAATTTTTGTAAAGGAAGTTAAGTATGTGAGCTGATGGCAGTATTACTCTTTTAGTAAAGAAAGGGAGGTAACAAAATGCATCCAGATAAGGCTCAAAAGTTGGGGAAAAAAAGGACCTATTAATAAGGATTTTGCCGTTAACCTTGCTGAGAGTCTAATGAAATGTTTTATTTGTAATTTGGAAAAATGAGTACAAAAATATATCTTTCTATTAATCTTAAAATATATATCACTTTAAAGCCAGACAAAAATTTGAACATTATATACTTATTAAAATAAGACATTAATTTACTTTATATAAACTGAAACGTTGTTGTTGTTGTTACGTGCCATCGAGTTGGTACCAACCCATAGCAAACTTATGCACAGCAGAAGGAAACACTGCCCAATCCTGGGCCAACCTCACTAGTGTTCCACGCTTGAGTCCATCAATACTGCCACTTGGCCAATCCATCTCGTTGGGGGTCTTCCTTTTTTTCTCTGACCTTAACAAACATGATATAGTTCTCCAGCGACTGGTCCCTCCTGACAATATGTACGAAGTGTAAGAGACGAAGTTTGGCCATTTTGCTGCCAAGGAGCACTCTGGCTGCACTTCTTCCAAAATGGATCTATTGGTTCTTCTGGCAGCCCATCGCACTTTCAATATTCTTCTCCAACACCATATCTCAAAAGCATCCATTCTTCTACAGTCTTCCTTATTCACTCTTCAGCTTTCAAATGCATATGAGGTTACTGAAAATACCATGGCTTGGGTCTGGCCCACTTTAATCCTCAAACTGACATCTTTGCTCTGCAACACTTTAAAAAGGTCTTGTGCAGCAGATTTGCCTAATGCAATATGTCATTTGATTTCTTGACTGCTGCTTCTGTGAGTGTTGATAGTTGATCCAAGAAGAATCAAGTCCTTGACAACTTCAATCTTTTCTCCACTGCTAAGAATGTTGTTTAGTGGTCCAGTGGTGAGGATTTTTGTTTTCTTGACAAGGAGATGTAATCCATACCAAAGGCTGTGCTCTTTGATCTTCATCAGTAAATGTTTTATTTAAGCCCTCTTCACTTTCAGCAAGCAAGGTTATATCATCTGAATATCACGGGCTGTTAATGGTTCTTCCTCCAATCCTGATGCCATGTTTTTCTTCATAGACCCCAGCTTCTTGTATTATTTGCTCAGGATACAAGTTGAATTAAGTATGGTGAAAGAATACAATCTTGTTGCACACCTTTCTTAATTTTAAACCATTCAGTGTTCCCATGTTCTGTTCAAACAACTGCCTCTTGGTCCATGTACAGATTCCCCATGAGCACAATTAAGTGTTCAGGAATACTCATACTTCGCAATGCTGTCCATAGCTTGTCATGATCCACACAATCGAAAGCCTTTGTGTAGTCAATGAAGCACAGGTAAGCATCTTTCTGATATTCTCTGCTTTCAGTCAAGATCCATTGGACATCAGCAATGATATCCTTCATTTTACGTCCTCTATGAATCTAGCTTGAACCTCTGGAAGTTCTGTCAATGTATGATTGCAGCCGTTTCTGTATTACCTTTAGTAAAACTTTACTCGCATGGGGTATCAAAGAGATTGTCCGATGATTTCTGCATTCCACTGGGTCACCTCTCTTTGGAATGGGCACAAATATGGATCTCTTCCAGTCAGTCGGCCAGATAGTTGTCTTCCAAATTTCTTGGCAGCGATGAACGAGTACCTCCTGTGCCACCTCACTTTCTTGAAAGATTTCTATTTTTATTCCATCAATTCCTGGTTGGTGCCTTGTTCTTTGCCAATTCCTTCAATGCACCTTGGACTTCTTCCTTCAGTATCATTGGCTCTTGATCATATGCTACCTCTTCAAACAGGTGAACATTAACCATTTCCTTTTGGTACAGTGACTCTGTGTATTCCTTCCATCTTCTCTTGATGCTTTCTGCATCATTCAATAATTTGCCCAGAGAATCCTTCAATACCAAAACTCAAGCCTTGAATTTTTTCTTCAGTTCCCTTAGCTTGAGAAATGCTGAATGTGTTCTTCCTTTTTGGTTTTGATTCCAGATCTTTGCACATTTTGTTGTAATATTTGGTTTTATTTTCTCAAGCTGATCTTTGAAATTTTCTGTTCAGCTCTTGGACCTCCTCATTTCTTCCATTTGCTTTAGCATCTCTATGCTAGAGAACAAGTTTCAGTGTCTCTTCTGACATCCATTTTGACCTTTTCCTTCTTTCTTGTCTTAATGATTTTTTTGCTTTCTTCATGTATGATGTTCTTTATGTCATCCCACAACTCTGCCTGTCTTTGGTCTTTAGTGTTTAATGTATCATATCTGTTCTTCAGATGATCTCTAAATTCAGGTGGGATATATTCAAGGTCATATTTTGGCTCTTGTGGACTTTTTTTGCATTTTCTTCAGCTTCAGTTTGAATTTGCATATGAGTAATTGATGGTCTGTTCCACAGTCTGCCCCGGCCTTGTTTTCACTGATGATACAGAGCTTTTCCATTGTCTGTTTCCACAAATGTAGATAATTTCATTTCTATGTATTCCATCTGGTAAGATCCATGTGTATAGTCGTCTCTTATGCTGTCTAAAGAAGGTATCTGAAATAAAGAAATCATTGGTTTTGCAGAATTCTATCATGCGTTCTCCACCATCATTTCTATCACCAAAGCCGGATTTTCCAAGTACTGATCCTTCCTCTTTGCTTCAAACCTTTGCATTTCAATCGCCAGTAATGATCAATACATCTTGATTGCATGTTTGATCAATTTCGGATTAAAGAAGTTGGTGGAATTCTTCTATTTCATCTCCACTGGCTTTAGTGGTTGGTGTGTAAATTTGAATAATAGTGGTATTAACTGGGCTTCCCTGCAGGCGCACGGATATTATCCTATCACAGACAGCGCTGTACCTCAAGACTGATCTGGATATGTTCCTTGTGACAATGAATGCAACATCATTCCTCTTCAATTTGTCATTCCCAGCATAGTAAACCATGTGGGTGTCAGATTCAAAATGACCAATACCAGTCCACTGCAGCTCACTAAGGCCTAAGATATCTATTTGAACATAATACTTATTAAGATAGGACCTTAAATTATTTTATATAAACTGAAACATAGAACTAAAGTAATATAAGCGTTGCAGTGTGTGCTATGTTAAACATGAACCTAAATAAGGTGGCAGAATTGTGATGGCATGAGGCAAACTGTATGTAACTAATTTGCACCATTTTATAGTCTAAGATTTCTTCTGAGAAGAGGACTGAAATAATTAAAAATACACAAACACAGAGGAAGTTCAGGGTAAAGATTAAAGCAATGATAAAGTGTCTTTTTTTTTTTTTTTCAAATTGCTCCTTATATAGACCATGCCAAATTTAATGAACTTGACCCCTAAGCAGAGCAACACTTAAATGTTTACTTTTCATTGCAGTCCTTGATTATTCCTGAGAATAAGACACCAAGACAAGGTCAAAAC